ATCACACCTGGCTCCCTTGTTGAGATTTCTTGGTGTCTGAGTGCTTCATTATGCACACTGACAAATTGAGTCTAAGAGCTTATTTCTAACGTTTATAAGGTTGACAAACAGGAGTTGGGAGCCCCATTGCAAATCGATTTTGCTGAGGAAGATACAGTTTAGGGGTATTTATGGAATTAAGAAACCATTGTTTGGCCAGATGTGGTAGTGCATGCCTGTAATCCCAGCACTTGGGAGGCTGAGGCAGAAGGATGGTAGGTTTGAGTGTAGCTTGGGTTAACAGTAAGATGGTGTTATTTTTTATTTACTTATTTAGTTTTGTTTTTTTTTTCCAGTACTGGGAATCGAACTCACGACCTTGCGCTTGCCAGGCTGGCACTGTGCCGCTGACCTAAATCCTCAGCCCCAGTAAGATGGTTTTAAAATAAAAAACTGAATAAACAAACAAAAATCCACCAAAAAGCCAGGTGGAGTGGTGCATGCCTGTAATCCCAGCCCTTGGGTCCCTGAGGCAGAAGGATCACCATGAATTTGAGGCCAGCCTGGGATACATAGCGAGATTCTGTCTCAAACAAACAAAAAAAAACAGCAACAAAAACAAACAAACCCCAAACAAAACAAAACAACAAAACCCAAAAAGCCAGTACAGTGGCATATGTCTGTAATCTCAGCACTGGGAGACTGAGGTAGGAGGCTCAGAAGCTGGAGTTCAGCCTAGGTAACCTGACGATCTAATGAAACCCTATCTCATAATAGAATGTAAGAAAGTGCTAGGAATATAGCTCAGTGTAAAGGTCTCAGAACCATAAAACAAAATAAAATAAGACAGAGAAAAAGAAAGAAAGAAAGATAGAAAGAAAGAGAGAAAGGAAGGAAGAGGAAAAGGATTGTCTGAGGCCTGGGGAAGGTGATTGGAAGCAGACAGTAATTGTAGTCTATGCATGTGTAATCAAACTTCACGGCTCATAGGACGCATATTGAGAAAGTGGTGCCATTAGCATGCTCTAAGAGTAGTTTTTAGTGTGCAGGCCCGAGTGAAGAGTTGGTGGTTTGAGTTGGTTTGAGATAGACAAAAGCAACCTCCACATTCCTGAAAAACAAGTAAGATAGTCATTACCCATGACCAGCATGTTTCAGGTATTATGTGACTTCTAAAATTGGTGATAAAAGAACGTTACTAAAAACAAAAGAAGTGATAGGGTTCATTCAGGTTTTACCTTGGTTTCCTTTCTACACTATGGTTGCTGAATGTTTGTGCCTCTCGAGAGTTTCTGTGTTGAAACCTAATGGCTGTGGATGGGGACCGCTTGAGACTTTATCAGCTCATGAAATCTTGGCTGTCATGAACAGGGTAAGAACGCACGTGAGGCCCCAGAGGCCCCAGAGAGCTGCTTTTTGTATCAAGTGAGAACGCAGCCAGAGGGTTGGGGATATAGCTCAGCGGCACAAATGCCTGCCTAGCAAGCGCAAGGTCCTGGGTTTGAGTCCTGGTACCAAAAAAAACACAAAAAACAAAAAACAAAAAACAAAACCCCAAAACAAAAACCAGAGAACGCAGCTAGGAAGGACCATCTAGGAACTAGAAAGCAAGCCTGTCAGACACTGAATCTGTCAGCGCAGTTTTCTTGGACTCC